GTTGATTCAAAGAGCGAGTCTTTGATTGGATTTTCTAGAGTGGGAAAGATAACTGAAGGATCTGTGTGTTTTTGTGTGTTTGAGTGGAGAAAGTTTAAAGAAAGAGTGAAAGATGGTGATGGAGTCATCAAAATGGTGGTGGATTGGAAATCACAACACGACAAATTTCTCTCCATGGCTTCACTCTACTCTCTCTGGTAACTTTCTCTCTTTCTGGGTTTTGAGAATAAAAAAAAAAACTCTCTTTTCTGGATTTTGTTCTCCTAATGACATAATCCAAGTGTTGGTTTTGGTATATGTGTGTGTCTATGGATTTCAAAGGTGTTGCCTTTTGCTTGTTGAATTTGGGTACTAACAGCCAGTAAGATTTGTTGGGATTATCTTTTGCATTATAATCTTTTGCTATGATTTGACATGGTGAATTTTGGTTCTGCTAATGTCAAAATGGAATTGTTGAATTTGGTGTATGGTTCTGGTTTATGGGTCTTTGGTTCTCTCAAAGGTGTTGCCAGCCTTTTTGAGTTTTCTTGTTGAAATTGGGTTAGAGTAGTCGTTAAGCTTTGTTGGAGAAGATGATTCTCTTTTTGGTATCTTATCTTTGGTGATTAAAGTGTTTAATTTTATTGAGACTTGACATGGTGAATCTTGATCATTATATTTTAAGAGTTGGATGAAAAGACTAAGGAAATGCTGAGAGTGATTGATGAGGATGCGGATTCTTTTGCCGCACGAGCTGAGATGTATTACAAGAAAAGGCCTGAGCTTGTAGCTATGGTGGAAGAATTCTACCGTTCTCATCGCTCTTTAGCCGAGAGGTACGACTTGTTGAGACCATCTTCTCTGCACAAACATGGCTCAGAGAGCCACGAGAAATCATCGACTTGCGATGCATCTTCGTGGTCCGAGGCATGTGAGCTTCATGACGACTACGCAGAATCTGAAATAGATGATGGTGAAAGAAAATGGGTCGATGAAGGTGAAATCGATGGCATTGTCGAGGAAACAGAATCATTCCAAGTCGATTACGGTGAAGAAAATGGAAATTTTGAGATGGTGAAGGAAGAGATAGAGAGGCTGAGAGAGGAGAATAAGGTTTACAGTGAAATGGTTAAAGAGAAAGATGAAGAGAAGAGAGAAGCTATAAGGCAAATGAGTTTAGCAATACAAATGCTTAAAGAAGAGAACTCAGAGCTCAAGAAGCGTGTTTCTACCGTCGCTGCGAGGCGTAATAAGGAAGGTGATGATGATGATGATTCTCAGAGGAAGAAACTGATGTGGAAGCCATTTGAGTTTAAGAAGATTAAGCTTGAAGGGTTTTGGGGGAAAGTAATGGGAAATTGGGTCCTCCCAAACACAGATTCTACTTCCAGAGAGCTCATTACTCTTGAAAAAACAGAGAGGTCTGTGTAATCAAGAACAGAATCTGAGGAACTTTCTCTAAATATCTTCAATAGGTAGGGTATACTCAAGTAGTTAAGTGTAAGGCTTCATAGGATTATAGTTATAGTTTAAGTCCATCAATATGTTTGTTTTACATTTTCTATACTTCTGCTTTGAGTTAATTGTTCGTTTGGAATCAATTGTTTTGTTCTTTAGTTATGTAAGTCTTTTTTCTGTGTGTGTAATAAATGGTTACAATAAGTTGTTGTTTTAAAACTTTGAGACCATAATTATAGATTCCGATATTATTGTCTTTTTTTATGAGAAATACAATAGAAATCATTGTCATTTACTTATAGTGGAGATTGTTTAAGACGATTTCATGTTAAATTAAGCGGCAATGCTTAAGTACCCCTTAATGACTACAAATTCAAACAAATCCCCTTTAAGAACATAGTACTGAGTTTATCAATGACTAAATTCATAAACATGTCCATAAACAAAAAACATGTGGGGTCAAAATGTAAAGCTGATTAAAAGTCAGCGATCTTTTTGTAAAATTTGATGTAACCTAAGAAATTTATTACACGAATCTACTTGGCGAATGGCAGGACAGGCTGTCGTCTTTATGTTTTTGCCATTGGTATTTCCTTATATTTACCACTCTACCCTTATTTTAAGTTGCCCATTTTGCCCTTAATGTTCGTATCCCTTCTCGTTGTCACTGAAAATGACCCACTCGTTATTATGGATATTAACTGTAAGGGTCAACGATCTTACTAGTACAACAAACATCCTAAATTGAATTTTTTTTTTTTTTGTGACTAAACATAAACTAATATTTTGAATTTTAATGCAGAAGACTGGAAAAACTGACAGCTATTTAGACAAAAATAAACTAAAAGTGCCAGCTTATTCACACACTCCCACTTAAAATAAATAACTATAAAAACGCGGGTAGGAGAAGGATAATATCGTAAATCCCCTTAATCAGACAAAACAATCCAAAGTGTTCCCTCGCATCCCACAGCTGTTTTATGTCAATCTCGTAATTTTGTATAACAACGAGCCCCAGATTTAGTCACTATTTAATATAAAAGTTACTAAAACCCAACTTTTGCCATCTTAAGAAATTCCCATTTTTTTTCGTTCTTCATATTGTCAAAAAAAATTTGAGGAAGAAACCTGT